ATGTTCTACTTGAAACCACGAAATCAGTAAATTTACACTCATTCCCAAACTAATTTGGTTTTTCGAGAGACTCACCTGGAACCCAGCTGAATCTCTCGTTTGTGATGTTCTCAGGCAACTGAATGTGTTGCACTAGGCCGCCTCATGTTTCAGTCGCTACGACATTTGAGAATTCGAGATACATGTATACATTTGTAATTGAGAGATTCAGCTGGGTTCCAGGTGAGTCTGTCGAAGAGAAAAACAAATTAGTTTGCAAATAAAGTTTCGTGCAAATTCAATTCTGGACTGGGGACTGTGTACTGTCAACGGACGGGAGTAGGAGGCCAAACGAATCATGTTCAAAACTAAAGTAAAGATGTGTGAAATATCCCAGAATAGCGGTAGCTTTAAATTTAAATTCACTCCTGTGCATCTGACCAAGAGCCGATCAGTCATCGTGATCACTGACGGCAACACCAGATGAGAGCCCTCGTGCTTCACTGCCATGTCATGTTGTTTGAACAAAGAAAGGAGTGGTTCAAGAAGCAGGACCTACGACCATCCCCACAACGAAAGTCCGAGCTGCCTACACTCAGTCAGAATATCTGAATAGAAAGTGACAGTGTGAGCGCTAGTGATATCGGTTGGCCGCCATATTGTTCAATTACTCCAGCCAAGCACGTGAATTGTCACGTGAACCCCATTCGCCCCATTCTGGATGGCGAACAGCACCAACGACAGCCTTACTTATCGTAACATCTTTCATTCCCTTCCCTCTACGTATAGTTGATTGCGATATGGCATAGAAAGTGTTAAAAACACACATACGAAGACCGAATGGGATCTGGGTCGGAGATCTCCCGTTGATATAACACAAGTAACCGTTAGATTACTAGTTAGTTAGTGGGCTAGTTAGGCCACAAAGCTGACTTGGGGTTTTCTGTGAACCATACTGTTCTCTGAAGTGAGGGTAGTTGAAGCAGAGAAAAAAAGACGTGGATGCTGGATAAAGCGTCTTCATCTGTGGTAGTGAGGCCGTCGATAAATCTAATGCCTGGTGTGGACTGACTGAAAATCAGGTGGGAAAATGCCTTTCAGGTTTGGAATTGAAAGGAACAACCAGAAGCTCGTGCTGCGTGTAGACAGTGAATCATCTGCCTTTTAGAAGATGTCGAACACGTGGGATCAACCAGGAGAAGAAAGCCAGTGCCTTTTGGTTAGCCAGGTTGGTTTTTCCTGGAGATCGGCGTCAACAGAAATTGTGAGGTGTCATTTCGCAGACTCCACCGGTTAAAGAAGCAGGCATCAAACTGTGCCACCACAGATACGTGGTGGTACCGTGGTCTCCAAATGTGTGAAACACGACATTAACGTTTTGGACAGAAGAAAGACCCCGGAGGTGAGACCGTTTTAGACCAATCAGAGGATACAGAACGGGGTGAAACTTTGGCTGCACCTAAGAGTCTCAAAAATCCTATTTTCGGTTGACTGTGTGACTTTCTGGAAAAGGGAGCACTACGCTTTCCCAAAAAGGGGTGCATTAGGATGTGTGCATCTCTCGTTCCACTGTCGTTGTGAATAACATGGATTCCATCGGAACTCCTGCAATCCTAATATGCACAAAAGGAAGAAATCAGTAGTATCGTTTTGTCTCATGTGCTCGGTTCCAGCCAAATGTGACGAGAGGGAAGCTGTCTTTTTGCCAAATGCTTTGTTAATCAGCCCAAGTACACATATAGTTAGTTGACCTTCAATGATGTCAGGTGTTCATATCACCAGCCACATAACTTGAATCCATCGAATGGCTGATACTTTACCTTGTGGTTTCCGCAGCGGCATTTCCTTCAGGCTTACATTTTTGTGAACACACCTCTTACTCGTTGAACTAGGCTACAATTTCTGTTGACTTTCTCGCTGATCCTGATGAGATTAAGTGTGTCATAACCGTGGTGACTACAGAGGATTGCTTGGTAGCTAACCGCTCAGTTTATACTATAGCTAAACTACTGATTTTGGCTGTTATATTACTTGTTTTCAGCATCGTTCTAAATGTTGAACTTTTGGGGATACTTTGTTGCCCGAGGTCCAAAGTAAAAGTGAAGTCGAAGTGTTTGGTCTTCTAGTGTAAGGTGATGCTACTGATGAGGGAGGTATGTGAGTAGCATGTTTTCTTGTTGTAAATTCGCTTTGCGTCTCTTGAAAAGGGAGATCTGTTGCAGAATTTGTGGAGTCGCTTTGTAGCATTTGCTTGGATTTGAGCAATGAATGAGTTGAGTCAATGATCATCCAGTAAATTTCAAGAAGATGCGTTCAGGAGAAGATGGATGTCCAGTTTTTTTGTAAATAAGATGCAAATGCGAGTTTTACTTCCCTGTCCAATAGTCTGTAACTGGTCAGTTGTCATTTTCTAATAAGTAACTCCGCAGCAAAGGCCTTCTTCCTTTGAGTGGTAGCTGATGTTTGACACCTTGTCTCACCTGCGATCCTCACAACTACACACACACTCTCCTTCTCTACCTGTGGTTCCAGCGAATTCAATCAGTGAACTGCAATACCGGACGATATCAAATCATCCAAGCATATGCACCAATCTTATTGAGGATGATGTGACGCGCACAGCCATTCTGCGTTTCCTTGGTTCGGGAAACGAGAGCAATGTGCCCATTCCGGATCCAATCAAAATTGGTCTCACAGAGTTACGCGATTTGCGCATTTCCGGTCTGGAACATACCAAGTTGGTTGGACCAATTCGATTTGAAAACGTTCCGACTTCGGTACGGACACAACCAGATCTGCGAATTGAAGTTGCCTTATCATTTGATCACTTGGTGCTCACAGGTGGATTCAAGCTACGGGGGGACATATTCCCACACAAGGTAACCACGGTCAAACAGTCAGTCCTAGCTTAGACAACTGTATACCTAGGATCGATCGATATTCTCCATTAGGAAGCAATTTAGATTTGATTCACCCTTGTATTCGTAATTGCTGCTTCGAAACCTGAAGGCGAGTTTGGCCCAACTTGTAAATTTTACACTTTTTGACTATACTTTATTGTGGTCGGTACCGGAAGCCCGGATACGCCACCCATGAATTTGCTGGAACTCTTCGACAGCCAATGACGGGTTTTGCTAAGGAACATCATTTGAATTTCAGGTGAATCTCTCCCAAAAACAAATTGGTTTGTAAATGAGTGTATTTCAATACTTCAGTTCTGTTATACTAGCCTTCGATTTCTCAAACAAATACTAGAAGCAGCTCAGAGCACGGATAATTCACTGCATCTTACATCTGACAAGGCATCTCTCGAGGAACCACTCATCACGTGACCATGTGATGTGAATTCTATGAGTAAAGATCAAATGGTGATACATCTTGCCTGAGTCACATTTTTAGTCAGTCACTCGTGACCCAACGGTTTACTCCTGAACTAATAGTCAGGAGGCTTGTGGGATTTCGTCCTGTAAGTGAAGCCAATCTATGCTGAAAAGCCGAGAAGCACTGTACAGCTGATTCATCCTTATTGGGAATCATCAGCAGTGCGCATCTCAC